ACCATGAAAGTGTGATTGGCTCATCACGATAGATTGCATTATCGATATGACAGAGTACATATAGGCCCAAGACTTCCATATCTACCGCAACCAATTTATAGAAACAATATCGGAGGGGATAAGGAAGGGAGGGAAACAAATATACACAATCGCAATCTAACATATATTACACCTTCTTCATTTTGTTCATATATGTGCTCTAGTCTATTATGGGTCTGGTCACGACTTATGATGTTTCTTATCCTGTCCTTCTTCTTGTATACAAACATCAGTAGAGCAATCAAAGGGACTGAGGTTGAAGCAATTCCTGTGCTAGGAGAAGTCCTGAAAAGCTGTTGAAGTTTAGACTGCTCGAGCCAATGACAGGTATGTTGGTCCCTAATCCATTTCTTTTCTATATGAATTATATAGTAATCTACAGATGCATGTGCAAACCAGCTGGGTTTGTACACGTACTGACCACAGGTGCAGATGAATTGTAAAATTAAGATATTAAGCAATATATAAACAACTAAATATGTATCTGTATATATAAGGTTTGAGTATCTAAAATGTTTACTGCACTGAACTTAACAGAAAATTTCAGAAATCTGACTACAAACATATGGAATTTGCTTCTTCCATCCTTCATGTGATTGGTGGTCTGCCGATTGCTTCTGATGACCGAGTTGCTCTGTTGGCTTTCGTAATTACCGTCGTGGCCGCGCCCTTCTGTTTGTTGGTCTCACTCACCATGGTGGTAAGCACAGGCACTTGATTTTTCTTTTATTTTTCTTCATGCACTAATTATTAACTGAAACTTTGTTGTGCTATGAGCCAAGTAGTCAACGATATTTCCTTTCTTGCTTAATTTGATTCTTACTTTCTTTGCCGAGTTCTTAAATTATTGGCAAATAAATGCTTGGATTATGATATGCTGTTGTTGGCAAATGGCAATGGATGCAAATGAATCAGCAAGGGGAGTTTTTCCTATCCTAGGTCCTAAAACTTATTGAGCATAGTGCTCATAAAAAATAAAGGAGTGATTAGGCTGCAGTCTGCACCTCCTTAAGGTGATTGTATTAGATTATGACCTGGTTTTTTCAGTTCTACAAAATTTATTATGTAACCATCAGTTGCAATGCAATGTTACGTGGATTGGAAATATTTACCCTGAAACGCTGCACACATATCTTGATTCTTAATCATGCTCTAATGATCAGCTGGTTGCTAATTGAAGGTTTGTTGTGTTCAACAAGTCTATGAAACTCAATTTTTTACGTGAAGAATTTATATGGAGTGCTGCATTAAAAAAGGGCCACATTTATTATTCTACTTTTTGAGGGTTTTCTTTAGAGGATGATACTCTCTTACTATTCTCTTTGTTTCTTTTTATCCCCAAATCTGAGAGAGAGAGAGATAGAGAGAGTGGACCCAGCACCCTTCTTTTGTGGCTTTATCTGATTACTGCTCAGTCTTTATCCAGTGTGTTGTATGAAAATTTTTGCAGTTCTGAATTAATACTTGTGTGTTTTAATTACGATATGTTCGCATACCGACCACGCAGTGTGGTGTGGTAAGCTTAAAGCTGACGGCCGAGAGGTTGTCCAAGAATATATATATATATGTATATATATATATATATGTATATATGTATATATATATGTATGTATGTATGTATGTATGTATGTATGTATGTATGTATGTATGTATGTTTTTGGTTCTCCCAACAATAATCGCTAGCCATAGTTGATACAAATATGCATTGCTCAGATGAAATGACAAACCTAGCTAGCTATATCTGGTTTCAGGCTTCTTCCTCTGAACTGGACCGTTGGAATGCCAGGAATCTTAGTGGCGACAGTGATCAAAGCCAACTTGACCCTGTTTGGATTGAGGATCTCAAGCTCTCTATTCCTCAGCAGTACGGTCCTCGCATGTTGGTAATCAACTCACAGGATCTAAAATCATTGAAAGTTTATAATGTGTTTCTGATGAGTTCGTCCAAACCTCACTTTCTTTTCATCCAGCAAGTGTTCAATGGGTGGCAATTTTCTCAGCTAGCAACAACAGCAGTTGATGACTGCCAATGCTCACTTTATGTTGGTGACTCAATTCTTAAGTTATTTCAAAATAATTTTAACAGCGCAACATGTTCTTTATTGATCCTGTACCAACCTCATGAAATCGATCGGTCTGAACATATGGATGATTTAGCCCACACAACAAATCAATGCGATTTGGAATTTAATTATTTGGTTAGTATTCACTATTCAGGTGTATGCATTAAGTCTCATGTTATATGTAGGTTTAATAATATCCATTGCTTCTTGATACAGTACTTGTCATATTCCAAAAAGGTGAAAAGATTGGTGTTAAAGTTAGAATATTGCTGCAGCTAGATGATATTGCCTTCAGTTTTATGAAATTACTGCTATCCCCATGAATTGTTCAGAGTTCGATCATTAATTGTTTGATTTCAAAAGGTAGCAGCATCACAGTATAAATTGTGTTTGTCCCACTAAATACTTTTACATTCGTTGGTAAGCAAGTAGTGATTCAAAATAGTGGTTTTTATAGAGAACCATCCAAATTGTCATGTTAGTATAGTCTATGTGAAATTGTCTTAATTGCTAGAAGAATTTATATGGAGTGCATTGCATAGAAATGATTGCATAGATTCTTCTTCGTTTGCTAATATATACTGTCAAAACGTGCCTTGCATGTGCACGATTACTAGTATACAATAGTAGCTACTATTAATATATGGTCCCACCTTGTCGGAGATATGGGCCCGGGGGTATGCCAAGTGAGGGAAAGTTACCTTCCCATCCAGCCATGTGGCTCTCCAGCCTGGCCCTCCCCCCGCGCCTCGCGAGTCTCAGAAGCAGCCAGGGGGCCTCGGGGTGCCACGTCACGCCCCTCGGGCCCTCGCGCTGCCTTGCCCTGAGGCCCTCGCCCAACTGCCATGTGGCGGGGGGAGCGAGCGGGGAGGAGACCCAGGCTGAACCGCCATCAATGCGCGCGGCGCCCCAACTGTCCCTCACCGCATTTAATACGCTAAGGGCAGACGTGCGGTGCCGTCCGACTGACCCACGTCAATCGGGTGTGACCAGACTGTGACCGGCCTATCGCCGGTCACGTCCGATTCGACAGGCGGCCGCGCCCCCACGTCCGTCTCTGTCTCCGGCGGAGTGGAGGCAGGTATGTCCCGTCCCATCAGAGTATTATTCGGAGTTCCCTCCACGTGAGGAGGACCGCCACAAGTCTTCACTCATTTATGAGGGAATGACAGGGTTGTCCCCCGTGTCAAGCGGGGGGTGGCGCTGGGTCCCGCTCAAGGACAGACTGCTGCTTAGCTTCCGGGCGAAGGCACGGATCGTGGCCCGGTCGAGGTAAAGTGGGTCCCCCTCCCGTGAAAGAGTAGGTAGAACCGGCGCATGTGGTATCCCCTTGAACTATAAAAGGAGGACCTTGCCCACCGAGAAAAGGGACGACACTCAGTAGGCCTGAGCTCTAGAAGGAGAAGACCAAGAGCGCTCTTCGGAGTTGAGGAACCTTTGTAACACTCAACCATAAATCCCACACACAGGAGTAGGGTGTTACGCTCCATAGCGGCCCGAACCTGTATAATCTTGTCGCCGGCACGCGATCTAGAAACCCTGAGGGCGGATATACGATCTCGAGAGGCGAACCCTTTCCCTCGGCCGAACTCACAAAAGGGGATCTCACGATCTCCCGCTAGAGAGGATCACTCCTCGACACACCCGTCATACACACATTTTGTCTTGGAGTCCGTGCTGCAGCTGGCTACAGATCTGTAGCCCGCTTCTCTTCTTATCTTTTATCTCATTAAAATATGTTTATAGCTGGCTAATAGTCGTAGCCGCTCTAATGTTGTCTGGTATTTTATAAAAAGAAACTCGTCAATCTAGTGGACGAGTCAATCTAGCAATGAAACCAAATAGGACCATGGGTTCGGATATAGTCTGAAACCATCTGATCTGCAAACATCTAGTCCACTATAATAGTTCAGTTAATAATTTATTCCAAACTACTCGTAAATAACACGTAGATACTCTCCATTGGTTTTGCTTTCTATGACCAAGAATGTTAATAGGCATAGGGCAGCTAAGGTTGAAGCCCTATGTTAACCCCATAACTCTCATTATATATTTAAAAAAAATGTTATGTAATTATGAAAAAAATTAAACCCTTATTAATTTAGCTCATTGTTCTGTGGCTAGGGGTGGAAAAAAAGCTCGAGCTTGGCTCGAGCCTGGTTGGCTTGGCTCGGCTCGTAAGCCAAACGAGCCAAGTCCAAGCCTCCTTTTCAGCTCGTTGCTTAAATGAGCCGAGCCGAGCTGGCTCACGAGCTAGGCCATCATATGTTTATATCCATTATTTTACTTTTTATGGAGTTATTATTTGTCAACTTAAAATTTATCATTAAGATTTTGAAGAATTGAATATATAAACTTAAATTTTATATGTTGATGATTTGTTCTTATTTTTTTTTAATAATTACAAAATATATTTGAAGAGGTGTTTCAATAGGAAGGCATGCAAGTCGGCTCGAGTTTAGTTCGAGCCAGGAAACGAGTCGAGCCGAGCTTAAGTTTTAGCTTGTTTTCTTAACTGAGCTAAGATAAGCCAAATCTAATTTATTACGACCCACTGCGAGCCGGCTCGGCTCGTTTCCACCCCTAATACTCATGTGGCTTCGCCGCTGCCTGAGAGGCGGAGACACGGATGACACGATCTCACGAGGCAAACCAAACACCATTTCAAAATCTTTTGCGCCAATTTTGTTTTTTTCAAAACTGTCCAGTCCACCGGCCTCTGCCTTCCCTTGCCCGCGTGCCCAGCGGCAAGGGTATCCCTTACACTTGTCTCTCCCACCACTCGACACAGCACGAGGCGCTGCATTGCCTACACTTGTCACCCGCTCACGCTCGCACGATTCTCCACCACCTCCACGCGCCGCCCTCCCATCCAATATCCATCGCCCTCCTCACTCCCCTCCTCCTCCTCTCTCGGTTGCGATGGCGATGGTGACGGCGCGGCAGTTCTTGGCGTCGGCGGCGGAGCTGGGGAGCGGGCGGCGGCGCTGCGGCGGCGGCGGCGCGTGCGACATGCGGGAGGACGGCGGGGTGGAGGCGCTGATGCAGTGCCAGCGCGTGAGCGACCTGCTCATCGCGGCGTCCTTCCTCTCCATCCCGCTCGAGCTCTTCTACTTCGCCACCTGCGCCGACCTGTCCGAGGTCAAGTGCGCCGTGCTCCACTTCTGCGCCTTCATCGTCCTCTGCGGCGCCACCCACCTCCTCGCCGCGTTCACGCACGCCCACCCGCACTCCGCCCCGCTGCTCAGGGCGCTCACCGCCGCCAAGGTGCTCGCCGCCGTCGCGTCGTCGGCGGCAGCGGTCTCGCTCCTCACCTTCATCCCCAAGCTGCTCCGCATCAAGGTCAGGGAGTCGCTGCTCCGCGACAAGGCCAGCCGCCTCCACCGCGACCTCGGCCTCGTCCGCCGCCGCGAGGAGGCCACCTCCCGCGCCGTGCGGGAGCTCACGGGCCGGATCCGCGCCTCCCCGCCCGACGCGCACGCCATCCTCCGCACCACTGCGCTCCAGCTCGCCGACGCCCTCGGCCTCCACGCCTGCGCCGTCTGGATGCCCGCCGCCGGCCGGCCCCACGACCTCGTCCTGGTGCATCACCTCACCTCCCGGCCCGACGACGCGGCCGACTTGCTGCTGGAGGTTGGTGACGCGTGCACCGTCGCCGCCGATGACCCCGACGTGGTCGACGTAATGGCGAGCAAGGTCGCCAAGGTGCTCGGGCCGGACTCGGCGCTCGCCATGGCGAGCAGCGTCGGCGCGGCGCCGGCGGGGGCGGTGGCCGCCATTCGGATCCCCATCCTCAGGGTGTCCATCTACGACGGAGGAGGGACGCCGGAGGTGACCGAGGCGAGCTACGCCATCCTGGTGCTGCTTCTTCCCCCCCACGACGCCGCCGGCGGGTGGAGCAGCCACGACCTGGAGATCGTCCAGGTCGTCGCCGACCAGGCCGCCGTCGCGCTCTCCCACGCCGCGGTGCTGGAGGAGTCGCGGTCGATGCGGGACAGGTTCGCCGAGCAGCACAGAGCGCTGATGCAGGCCAAGCACCGGGCCGCCATGGCGACCAGGGCGTTCAGCTCCATCCAGAGCGCCATGTGCCACGCCATGCGAAGGCCCGTGCACTCCGTAGTCGGGCTGGTCTCAATGCTGCAACATCCGGAGGCAGACACAATGCGGCCGGAGCAGAGGCTCGCCGTCGACGCCATTGCCCGAACAAGCAACCTCTTGTCGGCGCTCATGGACGAGGTGACCGTGAACCGGCAGCATTTGTCCGTGCAGAGGAAACCCTTCAGCCTGCACGCGCTGATCAAGGAGGCCATCAGCGTCGCCGGCTGCCTGTCTCATTGCGGGGGAGCTGGGTTCCTGCACCAGCCGGAATGCGCGCTGCCCGAATGGGTCGTCGGCGACGAGAGGAGGGTCTTCCACCTGCTGCTTGACATGGTGGGCACCCTGCTGAACCGATGCAACACCGGGTCCGGGGCGTGCCGCCTCTCGTTCTCGGTCAGGATCTGCAATGTGGGTGAAGAGAGGTATAGCCTTGACTGGATCCCGATGCGACCGACCTTCTCCGGTTGCAACGTTTGCGTCAAGTTCAAGGTCGGGATCGGGAGATCTAGGAGTTGTGCTATTGAGAGGAGTTTGCCGTGCGAATTGCCTCGTCGTTCTGCGGCCACTACCAGCTCTCAGATGGGGCATATCTTCAGCGGCTACTTCAACAAGATTGTGCAGGTATATGGGATCACTCACAATACACTCTCATACAAGTACTGGAAGCAGATCTCCAAATCTATTTTGCTGCCTTACTGTACTCAATTATGCTCTGTTTTAAATACTTCATCCGTTTCATATTATAAGTCGTTTGACTTTTTTCATAATCAATTTTCTTCAAGTTTAACTAAGTTTATAAAAAAATATAGTAGCATCTTCAACCCAAAATAAGCATATTATCAATATATATTCAATGTTATATTTAATGAAACTAATTTAATATTTTAGATATTGCTAAATTTTAGTATAAACTTAATCAAACTTTGTAGAAAAAGATCAAGCAACTTATAATATGAAACGGATGAAGTAATAGAAATGGTTGACATCTCTCTGGCCTCTGTTGATAAGCACATAGCAAGTACCTACATATCCCATTGTTTAACACAGCCATTGTTTAACACACACTGACTCACCGACAGAAAGCGTTCTGGAAATGCTAGAATTATCATCACTTATCAGTAGTTTGTTGATAAAACTTCTCAGTTTAATTATAGGTTCTTTAACACCTGTAAGAGTTGTGTAATCCGAGGAAACAAATGAATTTACTTTATGTATTACTTGATCAGATGATGAATGGTAACATGTGGTCGGCGTCGGACTCCGAGGGCGTCGGAGAGAGCGTCACCCTGATCCTGCAGTTCAAGCTGCAGCAGGGACATGTCGAAGCATCCCCGCCGTACATCCCTCACTTGAACGGCCTGAGGGTGCTCCTCGCCGACGACGACGCCATGAACCGGGGGGTGACCAAGAAGATCCTGGAGAGGCTTGGGTGCCAGGTCATGTCGGCGCCGTCGGGCGCCCACTGCCTGAGCCTCCTGGCGAGCGCCGAGGCCTCCTTCCAGCTCGTCGTCCTCGACCTCGACGATCGCGCCGTGCCCTCGGCGGCCATGGACCGGTTTGAGGTGGCCCTCAGGATCAGGGAGCTCAGGAACAGCTGCTGGCTGCTGATCGTCATTGCCGTCGCGGCTGGCGTCGTCGCCACCGATGATGGCGGCGCCGTGCAGGAGCTGTGCCAGCGTGCCGGGATCAACGGGCTGGTCCAGAAACCGGTCACGCTGCCGGCACTGGGAGCTCAGCTCTGCCGAGTGCTCCAGGACAACTGATGATGCTGCCTGCAATGGAGTGTGTACCGAAAAGAGCAAGGACTGAAATTGGTAGATGCATCATGCAATCTACTACCAGGTAGTAGAAGAAAACTGGAATGTACAGTACCGTATTGCTGTCTCTTTATCATGGTGTTGCATCTGCCGGCCTTTTGCTTCGTTCATTTACCGAATTTGCTGGATGATTATCGAATTTGTCTGAACAACATCATGTAATTCCGGCCAAGCTGGTGTCTGAAGCCGTGCTAGCAGTCTTTTAGTTAGCACGGCTCTAGACACCAGTTCATCTCGTGTACTCGATAATCATCTCGTGTACTCATATTATCTTATTTGATAATGCGTTCTATAGTGGTTAATATGAAATTGTAATTCTATATGATACTTGGATGCTTATATACCAAACATAAGATAATATGCTTATATACCAAACATAAGATAATATGTTTCAATGTACATGGAATTTTATAGCAAACTAGTGGGTTGTAAATGCATATGATAAAGGCTATGAGGAGGACTTAGCGAATCCAGATTAGGAGGTGTCGTCCATGGCGGTGGCGTGCGGATCCAGAAGAGGGGAGAGGCCGTCCACAGCGGCGGAGGTGGATGAGGTCATGAAGGGGAACCCTTCATGCAGCAACATGATCGAACCACGTCTTCAACTGCTACGAGTTTCATGAATTTGTGCTATAAATTTTAATATTTTGTTCTATTAATTTGTGTTGTGAATTTTTATTCGCTTTTTATTCGGTTATGCATTTGAGGACCTATAGAAATTAGTTTCAGCACTACTGTGAATTTTTGTGTAGATAGTCCCATAACGCTAACATAGCCGCTAGGCGGCCGTCCGCCATCTGCAAAAGGTGTTTTTTCACATGCCTTAAATCACAGGCAGTGTGGCAAGTCATTTTCCGGCCACATGCTAAAACTGTTTTTTTTCCCAAAAACAGTACCAAGACTAAGGCCATGCAAATATACATATTGGTGACTAGTTATAATTAAATTTAGGTCATCGGTTATTCCCTGTGTCGAGTCCGATCACCAAATTTAGTACAAGCTAAAAATCGAGCCCGTGACTAGTTATAATTTAATCCGGCTCTAAATTTCAGCCCCGCCGTTGATATTTATAGGCAAACAGTCTCCCATAAAAAGGGCTCTCCCAGCAAGCCATCATCAACCTCCAAAACACATAAGAGAAATTCAATAATTACACACAAAAAAAATAAGGCATAAGAAGGCAGCTGCAGCTGCTAGCTGCTGTTGTTGTTGGTAGTAGTTTTTTGGGCACCAATTTTCCATGGAGACGAAGGTGAGGATGAGCTGCAGGTTGGGCACTATGGTGGCCCTGGTGCTGGTGGGCGTCGTGCTGGCGGCGATCCTGCAGGAGGCCACCGTCGACGCGGCATCGTCCAGCAGCGACTCGCCGGCGGCGAAATCGGGCACCGGCTACCTCGACTACGGCAACCTCAAGGCGAAGCTGCCTCCACCGGGCGTCGCCGTTACCAAGAGGCCATGCATAGCAAAAGAGAAATGCCGCGGCTGATCGATCGATCGATCGATCATCACCGACGTACCCAGACGGATGAAACGGATCGACGTACGTACTGCTTATGGTGTCAGCGTGTTCTTGTTTTTTTTTTCTTTTCTTTTCTTTCTTTCCGATGGAATTGAAACGTGTGTGTTCTTGTTTTTCTTCTTCTCATGGCATCGCCTTGGCTTTCTATATATAATGAGGTTTTTAATGTCACTAATTAATTAACCACCTGGGATATATAGGCCACATTGGTGAAAATCCAACTGTTTGTAGCGAGTATAGTGCGTAGAGTCGTGCTCCAGCATTATTAATACATCATCACACCGATGATTAATTCTTCTCGTTGTTGTTGTTATTTGGATAAATTATGTGTTTTATCGTTGGTGATGGAATCTATGTAGAGCATCAACAAAATATATAATCCATATAGATGGGGTCCACACATATTAGCTTTAACTATTGCATTATTCATTGTATATCATGCCATTGTAGCATTAGAAGGAGAGAGAGATGGGAGTAGAGATCGATGTATTACTTAATTTATTCTATACAGATAGTTCATATGCATATGGATAGCTCATACTAAGGACATTTATAAAAGCCACTTCCGTAATATATATAAGTAGATCATACAAGGCTTAATACCGATCCTATTTTTATATTGTGAATATCCTAAGTTGTTTTGTTGATAAATGCAAATTCTATGAGATGCCATTTATGGGAGTGTTTCTCTTCCGATTTTGCTAGGTTGTCCCAGTGCCATCCGTTAACCTCTCACTTTTTTTTTTCTCACAATGCCGAAACAAAGAATTCTATATAACTCCACTAGAGTGTAGCAGAAAAAATGGAACAAACGCTCCTAGGAAACCGCCGGAACAAAAGCTTTACGAAGATAAAGCACCAAAAGACGGCAATTGCAAAGTATATATATATATTCTTTTACGTAATTGCAAAGTATATACTGGTCGGCAGCAGCATTGTGCCTTTGGTTCTCCATATGATTTATTTATAGATTTGATCTTTTTTTCGTATAATTCCTCCAAATCCAGAGGAAATCACTAGTGCCGATTTTGATGATTTGCTTGTTGATATTAATTATTTGGAGGCTCCTATTTCGCCCCGACATGATAGTTCATTTGGGTCTGCTACAACTTCCACCGTGCGTGCTTATAGTTTGAATGCACCAGACCAGTCATTGGTGGTTCGACGAGTTCTTTCTACTCAATTAGTTGCAGCTGAGCAAGGGCAACGCCATAATTTGTTTCAATCACGATGCAAAGTGAAACGGCAGGTGTGCAAATTTATAATTGATGGTGAGAGCTGCAACAATATTATATTGTTAGTGCCTTGCTTGTTGAGAAGCTTGGCCTGCAAACACGTCGCCATCCACACCCGTACCATATGCAATGGTTGAATAATTCAGGGACTGTGAAGGTTTCATCTATGGTCCGCTTGTCATTCTCAATTGGTGACTATCATGATAAGGTTGATTGTGATATTGTTCCTATGCAAGCTTGCCACTTACTTTTGGGTAGCCCATGGCAATTTGATGTGGATTCTGTGCACTTCGGCCAGTCGAACAAACACACATTTATTCACAAAGAGAATAAGGTGGTTCTTGTTCCATTATCTCCTGAAGACATAAGCTCTTCTGATGTTGCTCGCATGAAAAGAGATGAGAGTGAGAAAAGAAAATTATGAGAGAGCCACACAAATAGTAAGGGAGAGACTCCTAAACCATCCAGCCACATAAAGCCTCCTGAAAATACAAAACTGCCACGACAACATTTTTTATTTGTGAGAAAGAGTGATTTGAGAGAAGTGAGGAACACCATAGCCTCGTTCTTTGTGCTCTTGCACAAGGAGGTCCTATTTTCAGCTAACAATTTACCATTGTCGCTGCCTAGTGTTGTTCTTGATTTATTACAGGATTTTGAGGATGTTTTTCCCAATGAGGTTCCAGCTAGACTTCCTCCCATACGCGGAATTGAACACCAAATTTATTTGGTACGTGGTGCTTCTCTTCCCAATCGTCCAACCTACCGCACCAATCCTGAAGAAACAAAAGAAATTCAGCGACAGATAAAAGAGCTTTTGGACTAAGGGTATGTTCGTGAATCTCTCTCAACTTGTGATGTTCCTGTACTTTTGGTCCCTAAGAAAGATGGGTCTTGGCGCATGTGCGTTGATTATCGTGCTATCAATGCTATAACTGTTAGATATCGCCATTCAATTCCTAGGCTTGATGACATGTTAGATGAATTGAGTGGTTCAACTATAGTTGGCCATAAGGCCCGAGGCCCGAAGGCCCGGCCCACGGCACGCCTTTTTGGCCCGGCCCAAGCACGGCACGGCCCGACTTGGGTCGGGCCCATGCCGGCCCGGCCCGACTGTCGGGCCGTGCCTGGGCCTCCCCACCAGCACGCTGGGCTGGCCCGGCACGGTCGGGCCGGCCCGGCACGATGGGCTGGCAGGCCAGACCCGGTACACAAAGTATAGGGAATAAAAATAGACATATAAATGTCAATGTCTAAAGAATAGGGACCTTAAATAGACTTATTTTAGCTATTTATATACCACAGCACAAAGAAGAGGGAGGTAAAATAGACTTTTTTTAGCTATACAATGTCACAGCCCAATAGGAGGGAGAAAATTTAGACTTATTCTGAGGAAAAGCACGATGGCCCATCGTGCCTTCGGGCCGGCCTGGGCTGTGAGTGCGGCACGTGGGCTGGCACTGCACGGCCCGGTGCGTCGGTCGGGCCGTGCCGGGCGGCCCACATGGCCATCTATAGGTTCAACCATTTTCACCAAGATTGATTTACATAGCGGTTATCACCAAATTCGCATGAAAATTGGTGATGAATGAAAGACAGCATTTAAGACTAAATTTGATTTATATGAATGGCTTGTGATGCCCTTTGGTTTGACGAATGCTCCTTCCACTTTTATGCGTTTAATGAATCATGTTTTACGAGCTTTCATTGGAAAATTTGTGGTTGTATATTTTGATGATATCCTGATCTATAGTAAATCAATTGATGAACATCTTGATCATATCTGTGAAGTCCTTGCTGTTTTGAGAGCAGAGAAATTGTATGGAATTATTGCTAAGTGCACCTTTTGCACAGACCGTGTTGTTTTTCTTGGTTTTGTGGTGACTGCAGCTGGCATCAAGGTTGATGAAGAAAAGATTAAAGCGATAAAGGATTGGCCTACACCTGAAAATGTGAGGCAAGTTCGAAGTTTCCATGGACTTGCAGGTTTCTACTGACGATTTGTTAAAGATTTCAGCACCATCGCTACACCCCTTAACAATTTGACAAAGGAGGATGTTCCATTCAAGTGGGGAGCTGAACAGGACCATGCCTTTGAAGAGATAAAACAAAAGCTTTGTGAAGCACTGCTGCTACAACTACCAAACTTTGGTAAGACCTTTGAGATCGAATGCGATGCAAGTGGTATTGGCATTGGAGGTGTGCTACTTCAAGAAGGTAAACATGTTGCCTACTTTTCTGAAAAGTTAAATGGTCCACATCTAAACTACTCTGTCTATGACAAAGAGCTTTATGCCTTAGTTCGAGTTTTGGAAGTCTGGCAACATTATTTGTTACCTAAATAATTTGTAATCCATTCTAATCACAAATTTTTATGCCTTAGTTCGAGTTTTGGAAGTCTGGCAACATTATTTATTACCTAAAGAATTTGTAATCCATTCTGATCATGAATTTGTGAAATATCTGCAAAGCCAAGGCAAACTGAGCCGTCGACATGCGAAATGGATTGAGTTCATTGAAACATTTTCCTATGTTGTCAAACATAAGTGTGGCACAGATAACATTGTTGCAGATGCTTCGTCTAGACAATGTGCTTTGGTTACACAATTAGATACAAAAGTGCTTGGTTTGGAATCAATTAAAAAACTTTATGCTAATGACCCTGATTTTAACGAACCTTTCTCTAATTGTATTGCTGGAAAAGGATGGGACAAATTCTATGTGCATGATGGATTCTTATTTTGGACTAACAAACTGTGCATTCCAGCTTGCTCGATACGAAATGTTCTTTTGCAGGAATCACATGCTGGGGGGTTGGCTGGTCATTTTGGTGTAAAAAAGACTTTGGACATGCTTTCTGATCATTTCTTTTGGCCACATATGCGACGTGATGTCCAGCGACACGTTGAGCGGTGCATAACCTGTTTGAAAAGTCCCGTCTTAATCCCCATGGTCTATATACTCCATTATCTATTCCAAATGTACCTTGGGAAGATATATCTATGGATTTTATTCTGAGGTAACCTCGGTCTCAGAGGGGGAGGGATTCCATTTTTGTTGTTGTCGATCGCTTCTCAAAGATGGCACATTTTATTCCATGTCATAAGAGCGATGATGCATCACATGTTGCTGACTTGTTTTTCAGGGAGATAGTTCGTCTACATGGAGTGCCAAAGACTATCGTTTCAGATCATGATACCAAATTTCTTAGTTATTTTTGGAAGACATTAGGGGGTAAACTTGGCACTAAGTTGTTATTTTCCACCACTTGTCACCCACAAACTGATGGGCAAACTGAGGTTGTCAACCATACTCTATCCACAATGCTAAGGGCTGTGCTGAAAAAGAACTGAAAGATGTGGGAAGATTGCCTTCCACATGTTGAATTTGCTTATAACAGGGCAGTACATTCCACAACCAAATTTTGTCCCTTTGAAATTGTTTATGGTTTTAAACCACATACGCCCATGGACCTTTTGCCTTCACTATTACAGGAACAGGTGAATTTGGATGCTGCCAAGAGATATGAATTCATTAAGAAGCTACATGCCGACACAAGGAGGAATATTGAGAAGAAAACTGCACAATATGCAAGGCAAGCGAACAAGGGTAAGAAAACTGTTATTTTCCAAGCCGGCGACTTAGTGTGGTTGCATCTACGCAAGGATCGATTTCCCCAATAGCGCAAGAGTAAGTTATCCCCTCGGGGTGACGATCCATTCAAGGTTCTAGAGAAGATAAATGATAATGCTTACAAAATTGAGCTCCCTCAAGAATATACCAATGTGAGTGCAACATTCAATGTCAAAGATTTGTGTCCATTTGTTGGTGAGTCTGAGTCGAGGACGACTCCTTCTCAAGAGGGGGAGGCTGATGAGGACATCCCTAGTAGCCACTCTTCCCCACCTCCTAATAAAAGTGCATCTAATATAGTGGGTCCAATTACAAGGAGCAGAGCCAAACAATTGGGGAAGGAAATTCACTCTCAGGTGAATGCTAACCTTGTGTTAAATAATCAAATTACTTTAGATGAGCCTATGCTTTTGAGTGTTCGTAGGAATGATGGAGTGCACGAAGATGATGGTTTCTGCCCTCCAAATATATGGACTAAGGAGCCTGGACGTGCATAGCAAAGAGGAACCATTCAGCTGCTATACATAGTAAATAAAACCTTCAAGCTGCTATACATAGCAAAGAGGAACCATGGTCAAGCTCCAACGTTGAAGCAACGGCAACCCCTAGCGCCTTGCCCCCACCAACCATAGCAACAATACAGGAAGGAGGAAGGCGTCGATGAGAGGAAGGGAGAAGAGAAGATGAGACAACAACAGTTGACTTACTGGCCAGCCAAACGACGACAACGCGCTCTCCTTCTCCACGCCTTAACTCTACTCGATACCACAGGTATCAGACCTAATTGCTATGGGTATCGGTTAGCACCTGAGGTATCAGGCACGATATCCCGAGATACTAGACCCTGGTAGGCTTGTACCTGGGTATCAGGCATGATACTCGAGGTACCAAACCCTAGTACCTAGGTATCAGGCATGATATCTGGGGTACCAGACCTTGGTACTAATAATCCCCTGATACCAAGGGTATCAATTGCAACGTACCTGTATACAACAGTGATGAGTAATGAAGAAAACCAATGACCGCTCATCCATTTCATCAACTCCACGGTCACTATACATCGAGACCGGCTGCATCCATCTTCTTGTCGGTTCCCAGGACCTTTCCTTCTCACACATGAGACACGACAATCCCCAAACCTCACAGCCATAATTAGCTCCCTCTCATGCCCTCTCCAACCTCCACTCCGTCACATGCTCCGGATCCGGTATAGGAAGGAAGAAAAGAGGATAGGGATGTCGTCAGCGTTGGAGACAATAGTCTTGAGTCGAGGAGGGAGAGAGGAGGATGATCACTGGGATGGAAGAGTGGATGGAGGGAGGAGGAAGGCAAAGCGTTGTTGCTTGGTGGAGGAGAAAAATGAGTTGATGGGAGAAACGAATATGGAAGATAACGCTCACATCTTTTATATCCCGTGCTCTCATGCCCCCCGCCCCATTGGATTCCGTCTGTCCGTTTTTCTGATAATACTAATATGGAATAGGGCTTGTTTGGTTTAGAACCAATTTTTGCCATACCAAAATTTTGGTAGTGCCAAAACCTTCGGTAGTATTGAATTTGAACTATTGTATGTAAAATTTAGAGTAAATTGCACCTATAGTGTATCAATTTGGCAGGTGGGTACAATTTGGTGTAAGAACTTGAGAAATGAGCGTTTAGTATAACACCTTGGCATGTACGTGCAATTTAGTACAAGAATTTTATAAGTGATCGCATAAATGCAACAACTTGTTAGAAATACAACAACTTGGCATTTGCTACTATTGAAGTTATCAAAATTTTAGTAGGACGATAAGTTGGTATCAAACAATCAAGCCCATACTCCCTAAGAAAAAACAAATTCAAACCGAAATCCGGCGCTGCCGCCCCAAAACCCCCAATTCCCCATAGGCCCAAACCTCCATGTCCCAACCGGCGAGCGCCGCCGCGGCCGCCGCCGCCGGGGAGGAGGAGGAGGAGGACGCCGCCTGGGCAGACGCGCTGGACTTCGACGACTCCGGCTTCCTCCGCCGCGGCCCGGCCTCCTCTCCCTCCCGCCTCCGCCCCCCTCGCCCCGATGACCCCGCGCCGGCCGCCTCGCTCTCCCAGGGCGCGGCGCGCGGCCTCCGCTCCCCGCCCCACCTGGCTTCGTCCGGCCCCGCCGCCCGCGGCCATGCCACCGACCCCGACTTCTCGCTCGCCCCGTGGCTCCACGCGCTGGGTTCCCTCGGTGAGGGTGGAGTGGAGGCGGTGACCGGATCAGACATTCCGTGTTTGGTTTTGCGTTTTCGGTTGCTCATCGTGGCGTGGGTATGCAGGCGAGGCGCGCGCGTGGAAGCGGCAGGAGATCGCGGCCATCCGTGGCGACCGGGCATTGTATCGAGCACGTCTGGTGCGTGCGGAGTGTGGACATCTCCTGGCTCTACCTGTTTCGCTAGTTTTGTGCGTGTCTTTGCTGATGGCTTGATTAGTCTTGGGGCGTTTGGTTGTGATCAGGTGGTCGGCGTGGTGACGTCGTGCGCGCCGAACAGGCTCGGTGATCTCTTCCTTTCTCTCAAGGTGAGCGAACACAAAGCATCATGGCATGATTATGTGTGTACTGTGGAATGAGTTGGATTCCTTGGCCGTAGGGATGCAAGCGGAGCGGGCAAGCGGGGTTTTTAACCCGCTTATCCCACTTCTAGTTCATTTTTTCTTCTAAATTTTATACTGCCATATGAAAAATGAATTAGCAAGCGGGTTTTTATGCGGGTAGCGGGACTACCCACTTTGCATCCCTACTTGGCCGAGTTATCATGTTCGCGTCATGCGGGAATTAGCTCGTGTTAAAATTGGAAAAAGGGACTTTGGTCTTTGATTGATGTACTGGTTGGTTTTCTTCTGATTACTTATCACCTCTTATTGCATTATCTGCATCTCTTCATGTTTGCATCTTACATGTAGAGTGGGCTACATTAAGAGACATTCAGATAAGTAATTAAACCGAAAGCCATAAATATTACTTTACAATCTGAGTACGGAATATTTATTGAATGCTAACTGATTGGGAAATAATGGTGAGTTATTCTTGATAGGATCCAAGTGGTACGGTTGGTGCTTCAGTTCACCAGAAAGTATTTACAAAGGAGGATAACATGGTTGTATCTGTAGGGTCTTGCATTGTTCTGAAAAATGTAAGGTGTTGTGGTGAAAAAGGATTTCTTTTGTTGGCAAACTAACTTAGTATATGGAGTAATTGGTTCATTGTTAATTTCAGGTAGCTGTTTTCCGTCCATCTCACAAGGGTTGCTATCTTAATGTCACCAAAGAAAATCTAGAGATGGTACTATTTGCATTTCTTTATATTACTATCTAGTATAATAATTGCCATTATTACTATACGTGCACTGCACAGTAGAGTGAAAATAATATAAGATGCACTGATACATAATGTTACGGAAGTAGACAGCTATAATACAATGATACTAGAGCATCAGTAAAGGATGAAAAGAAGGCACTCTGTGAATCTTACTTGTGTAAAGAATCATCATTGTCTTCTGTTTTTCCTTCTCAGTTTTTTGAGTGAAAATGGTAGAGAGGTATCCTACAATTCCATGATCCTGTTGTTTGTTTTATTGCTTCTAAAACTTTCATGAAGTTAAAATACACCATTAGTTCAAGATAGCCACATTGTTCATCGATGAAAAAATCATACTTTATTTTACCATTTTAGATCTTCCAAACATTCTTGCACATGTAATTATATAAATCAAAACTTCTGGCTGGGAGGATGTTTGTCCTTCAGATTAACCATCATATTTAGGCCTTTCATGCTTCAGACCTTGTGTTAATCAAGAATAAGCCTTTGCATTATCAGCAGAGTTACTTGGATTCACTTGTATTTCAAGTCTCAGTTCTTTAGAAGCATGTAACCATTTCACAAAACTTTCACAATGGTACTTTTGAACTGCCATTACAATGTTCCTTAAATTAACATCATAATCATTTAAGGACATGGCGGTATGAATGTTTTTATATTTGCAGCTTGTGCCAAAGGACTTCTGCTTCCCATCTAAGCAAGTGTTTTCATCAAGTCCTTCTGAAAGTCAACATCCTGGTAACTTCCAGTTCATATCCCTTTCTCTATATTAATCTCTTAAGAACAATAATATGTTACATGTATTCCATAACAGTAAAGTGTCAAGAAACACGGGATTCTTCATGCCAAGGAGATAACCGCATCAGGAAAACTGGAGTTGAAACATACGGACAAACAACAGGTATCTGCCGCACGATCTTAAGTACCAGGGATGATAGGATTGCTGATGTACTTTCTGATAATAATTATGCAGGAAATGCTGTTCGAGATAGTACGTTAAGAATGGACAATGGCAGTACTCAAGGTGTAGGAAATCACCTAGATACAAGGATGAAGGAAAAAGATATAAATCCTTCAAACAAGAATACACCAAGCTACAGTGCCGATCAGCAATTCCAAAAAACTAGTTCCAGTTCAGGTAAGCACCAAGGGATTGAACTACAAACATTGATGCAGCGCCTCAGCAGCAGGCATATATCAAACCACAATGGTGAAGAGCATCACCAGCAAACTTTGAATGATCCTGAAAACCCAAACACAAGATGTTCCCAGTCTACTCTAGGTGGATGCTCGGTCATGTCTAGAACGGGAAATTCTATTGCAGCTAGTTCTGATGAAAAGCTGAGTCGACCTCTTGAAGGTGAACGGGTGCACCCTAATAGCAAAAAGCAAAGGGGTGATGCGGTATTGCCAGATAATGTTATGTCAAGTACGAATATTGAGACCTATGGGTTAGCCAATAATCTAAACATTGGTCTGGATGATGTCGCACATCTTGTTGAGCACGCTTCAATCAAAAAACCCAATGAGCATCAGCAAAAGGACTTCATTACTGGAACTTTGGGCATTGTCCTGCCAACTCAAGAAAATAGCTCTGTAAGTAACAGTGATGCAACTACTCTCAGTGCATCGTTGCATTCACAGCCAAATAAGATGGCTTCTGTAACTGAATGGACAGATGATCAGCTATCTGAACTGTTTGCTGACTATTAGGATAGGAGTGAATGTCTGATCAAGGAGCTACCAGATTTGGTACTTAATTTGAACTGGCTATCTTAATGGTTGATGCTTTTGGTAGACTTTAGCGATTTACTCAGGCTATCACGTCACACTCTGGTTTCAGATAAGTGCAGCTTCCCAGATCATTACAACATCATTATATTAAATTGTAATTGATGTTTTCAGTGGATGAGACCTTCTCTCATCACGCAAAGGAGCCTTTGCAGACAACGGAATTGTTTGTTTCAATCTTGTGCAAACCTGCAATCCCTGGTTAATATGATAGGATTGAAGGATCTTGTCAGCTTGTTTCACTAGAAACTTGAATGCTACTTCCTCTATTCCAAATTGATCTACATATTTCATGGTATACTAAGACCAAGAAAAACTAATAAATCTCTCATACTATATTTACTCTAGCAACAAACTCGATGCATGCATCATTCTCACTATTTCCTAGCCAATAACAAATTAAGATATTACATGTGGGTTATAAATACTTGTATGCATGGATGCATGCATCAATGTCTATTTACTCCAATGTACAAATAACGAATAGACTTAATAAATGAACACAAATATGTAGATCATTTAGGAATAACTTCAAAAAAACTATATGTAGATCAATTTGGAATGGAGGGAGTACTTCTCTTCAGAAAATGTAGCCTTTTGGTCTTTTAGAAAAGAAAAAGGTTAGCCTTTTGTATTTATCGAAGGTCAGAAAAGTTACTGCTAGACAATGGCAACTTCAATCTAATGGTTAATGGAGGAAAATGCAAAGAATTACAATAGTCCTTAATTATGAGTTTTGTTTTTTGCTCTATTTGAGTTATACATCACAAGTAAAAAAGTATAATTGATGTAGGTGAGTGGGACCACTTTTAACTGTCATTTAGCACTCTCTCATGCAACTTATCTCTGGCTTTTTGAGAGCTCAAGGCCCTATTTCAAATGTCGAGACTTCAAATATTCACCAAATGTAAGACCACTTTCTCATAGTATTTGGCAACCAGCCGAATAATATATGTTCTTCAGCTAGTTGGAACATATTTTATCTTTTTAATCTCAACGCCGATGAAACGTGCATGAACGTAGCAATAGGGATGGCAATGAACACTAAAGAAATCGATCAAGGTTAGTAGAAGCTAGTCCGGTTCATGCAATGTTCTGCACTCTCGGAACGATGCACAAATCACTACAGAGCCCTGGTAATCAATTTAACCGTTCAACGTTGCAAATAGTTTACACTTAGTTTTTTGTTCATACTGAGTGTGTTTGATGATCATCACATATCAGTTGACCTATATGTTACATAAAGATGGCAATAGATCTCATTCTATCAGTAGCGAGCACACAGTATCAATTCAAGCATATACAGAAATAGCTGTTCTGCGCCTACACCGCAGGATGACAATTTGATGTGCCAGTCTTTGCCTAGCATGAACATGCAAAAGCTTGGTTAGAACATTAATTACATCTCTGATAGCAGTTTTCTTTTGAATTACCCCTTCCTACTACTGGAATCTGTCTCCTTCCCAGCAGCAGTGTTCACTTGTCTGTTCAGATAGGCTTCATATATCTCCACAACAAGCCTTGGGTCCTTCTCAACAAGCTCCTTGTATTCCTCCCGATCTGCCAGCGTTGACATGTTGTCCATGATCGCTGCCAGGGATGTCTCGAGCAGCTGCTTCGCGCTGTGGCGATGCGCAAACGCATAATGCGTGATGGCATTGTCGTTGCTCACTTTGGATGTTAAGAATTTCTCACAGTAGGCCTTCAGGTTCTTCACTTCGTACTTCTCAGCCAACACCAGGAGATCAGATGCCATCTGCTCGTCAAGGAGAGCTTCTGCTGTGTACATGTAATGGACGAAAGCACGAAGGACGTCGTAGGACACATCGTATATTTTGATGATGCCACTCCGGCTCTCTTCCATCTCGTTCTCAAGCATAGCTCTGAAAACAGGAGATCTGCTGGCCTGTTTTCAAAGAGAAGAAACTCAGTTTAATGGATAATAAAATAAATTCTACAGCAGAAACTAGTCCGTGTGCATCAGTAAGATGCAACTAATTCACAAATGCGAAATATCTCAAGCAAATCAACTACAGAACATACTAATAGCTAGCTAAGAAATTAGAAGAACGATGATATAATTGAAAGTCTGTGAACAAGGAATAAAGCTATTTGTATCTTTGCCAAAATACAACAGATATGATGCATTACATATGAGCCAAAAGTTAAATACTGAATCAGTACAGTTGACAGATCAAGGAATCTGAATGGAATTGCGTCGAGTTCAAAAATACATATTTTCCAAAGCCTCTATGAATATACTCTAAAGCCACTCACTGAGAGCAAAATCCAAAATTTGTATAGTCATGGTAATATTCCTTGTTGTCCAACCAGCAGTAGCTACTGTGGGGTGCCTATTCAAGAAGCGGGAGATTCATGTTTGCCTGTGAGGCAGGTGATGTCCTGTAGTTCGAACTCCCATCAAAGATCTTTTTTTTTTTACCAGGAAAACTGCTAGGGCTTTGCCCAGCAGTGTAATTTTATAAAAAAAGGAAATATTTACAAGGTTACAAATATTACATGCGGATCATCATTGCCAAAGTTATCATAACAGCACTACAGGCGAATGATATATGGATCATCATTGCCAAAGTTATCTTTCCAGATCTAACAACATGGAAATTACTTTTGGAATATCAAAAGAGCAAAGACAAAGTGAAAAGGAAACATAAAAGCAGAAGAGTACCTAATTCCATTTGTGCATTAGATACATAAATTGGTATGCAAGTACTATAGACACTCTCAAAAATATATATTGTCGTATCTGTTATTTATTGATTTATATCATAAGAAAATAGGTTCTATGCAACTTCACTTGATCAAATGCATGCTCCTATACAATTAATGCGGACTTTTTTTTTAAAAAAAAAAGAGCAACAAAAATTGTCAAGGTATTGATGGGCGAATGCATTCCAAACTAGATAAATGAAGTCTTAATAACTTATAAAGACTCAAGTATGACTCTTTTACCATGTTAACATGATATCTTGCCATTGCTTGCTCATTGTACTACTCCAGCTGAGTTCTTTCCCCAACTTTCCCAACTCACCTCCCTCGTTTTCCGCGTGCATGCTTTTCAAACTGCTAAATGGTGCGTTTTTTGCAAAAAAAAATTATACGTAAGTTGCTTAAAAAAATCATATTAATCCATTTTTCAAAAAAAAAATAACAAATACTTATTTAATCATAAGAAAATGCGTCGCTCCGTTTTGTGTGCGCAGGAGGTGAGTTCCCAACCTCACCTCCCGAACACAGCCTAAAGTGTTTTGTGTGCACGGGAGGTGAGTTCCCAACCTCACCTCCCGAACACAGCCTAAAGTGACTGTATTTGAGATTTATGAGCATGCTACAGTTTGTAGCTTATTATTGTACCATAATAAGTTAACTTTCTTAGGAACAAAATCAGTCTTATACAAATTTTGTCACATCCAGTCAATAACCATTGGAATACACATGTACCGAGAAGCATATTTTCCTGTTTACCCTACAGCTTACATTTTTAGAAGCCACTTAAACTCTGTCCATCAACAGTGATAAGTGTAAGATCACAGTTGAAGTCCAGGCTCTGTTATGCTTCATGCCTTCAAAAACTACATGCCCTCAAAATAGTTTTAGTCAGTGTCATACTGTTTACAACATGCAATGTTATTGAGACACTAAAATAGTGAAATTCAACCTCCTTCATCACATTGGAGTATTGGATATCAGCTTTAAGCCTTTACTTGCTAGATAATGTCTTTTACTGCTAGTAAAACTTCATTGCAAAACATGCCTGAGTTCAACTCAAACACATTCAAAGCAAGTAGCACCAACACATTGGAAAAAGAAAAGGAACTCAAAACACTAAAAACATGCGAAGAAGAATCTGCACACTTATACAGTTCTGCAGCTTCTTCTCCTTTATTAGTTACTAGACTAGTTTAACATGTTGTTGCAGACTTGCAGTGGTACAGCAAAGTAACAATATTAAGCCAGACATTAACACATTACCCACTCTATATCTCAATTAAACATGTCCTAGTATATAATGCATACATATCTTTGTTCTTTGTGGAAAGAGAAATTTGTACGTCACAGATCAGGCTACATCGAAACAAAGGCAGTGCAAACAATGGTTATGGCTAGGGAAATTCTAGAATCCAAATCAATCTAGAGAAGAAGAAGACCAGAGGCATCAGAATGAAACGAAGTTCATCCTTACAGGGGTAGCTCTGGGTTACAAGATTTAAGCCAGCAAAAAATCAGCGACCTGCCGCTAAGTAGCCAGCAGGACCCCCAATTTATATATAATCAATCATGAACTAGTTGGCTACCGGAACATCAATCCTAGATCAATCTGGCAAATAGTAGTCCACAAACTTAATTGAGCACTAGCACATGAGAAGTCAAGAATGGCATGAACAAAGAAAGCTACGTGTTGGGACTAATCGATTGGAAAAAAGTGAAGCAAGAATGACTCACGAGGATGACGCGGTGGGCGGGGACGGCGGGGGTGTCGGGGCGGGCGGGCGCATCGGCGGGGATGGCGTGGAGGAGGAGGTCGGAGTGGGAGAGGGAGGAGGCGTCGAGGGAAGGGGAAGGGAGGCGGAGGAAGTGGAGGCGGGAGCGGAGGTCGTCGATCTCGCGCTTGAGCTCCTCCTCCGTCTCGCTCGCCTCCTCGTAGCACTCCTTGCACGTCCCGGCGTCCTCCTCCTCGTACTCCTCCTTGCACGACTGGCACCACATCGCCGCTCCTCCGGCACGGCGGCGCCGCCGCTGGGTGCGACGGCGAGGTGGCGGCGCGAATGGAAAGGGAAGCGGAGACGGTGGTGTCGAGGATGGATGGATGGATGGGCCCCCGGTTGGAGAATTTTATAAATGGGCCTTGTAGGCTGTGGCTCTGTAGGCCCTACTCACGGATGAGTTTCTGGTACTTTTCTCTGAACAAAATTCAACCTACCTTAAACGTGACTCATTCTAATATAATATAATAAATGGGAGACGTCTACGCGTCGGATTTTCGATGGAGATAGAAAAAATCAGACGCACGTATCAGCCTGACATCATCAGCATGCATGCATCCAAAACTACTTTGAACTATTTTTTATCTTAAATTATTTATCTAAATCAGATCTGATTGCACTATTAAATTTGTTGCAATTAAATCTTTAAACTATTTTTTATCTTAAATTATTTATCTAAATCATGATCCGATTACACCATTAAATTCGTTGCAATTAAATATTTAAAACAAGACCATATATGGATATATTTCGATGAAAAAATTAGTTTATTATTGAATTATTTTTAAATGTTGCACGTTGTTCCACCAATTATATCGGAATTGTTTCACTAAGTAGATCGAAAATGTTTCAGTCATTTAAATAGGGCGTTGTTTCACCTTATATAAATACAATGTTTCAGTAAATAGTGAAAGATTTAATCCATACATACTAAAATATTATAAGTGCACTAGGTGAAATATTTTTTGTGGAAAAAAATGAAACGAATTCCTTAATAGAGGGTTTCTATAATATGTGGCTGATTTGTTGCAAAGAATGTTTCAATTCACTGCAACTTTAGATTTATATATAGTGAAACATTGTGAGTGTACTAGGTGAAACATTTCTTGTGGAACAAAAAATGAAACGAATTCCCTTAATAGAGGGTTTCCAAAATATGTAGGTGATTTATTGGTAGAGACACGTGGCAGGTGGGCAGGGACATGTGGTGGGGCCCGGGGGAGGCATGTGCGCGTCGGGGGGGGGCAAACATTGTGAATGCACTAGGTGAAACATTTTTTTTGGAATAAAAAAATAAACGAATTCCCTTAATAGAGCATTTCCAAAATATGTGGGTGATTTGTTGCAACGGAGTATGTGGTGGAGACACGTGGCAGGTGAGCAGAGACATGTGGGGGGCCCGGGGGAAGGCACGTGCGCGTATTTTGCTCCACCCCCACCCCCTGCCGGTTACCGATTCCCAGCATTCTCGAATAAATTTCGGTAACCTTTTATTTATATTTACTATACTACTAAGATAAGTCACATTTGTCCTTGGTTAAGTTAAGTTTTTTATTAACAGAGAGAGTGCTAATATAATATGCGCTCTTTTTTCTTGTTAACACATGATTTATGAGAAAACCTTTTATATAGATGTTACAAACCGCTCAAGATTACTCACGCCTGATTCTGGGTTGGTTTTTGTTAACATATTTTTCAAACCACTAAACAGTATTTCGTATGAAAACTTTATAAAAGTTATTCTTCTAAAATATTATATAATCTAATTTTTTAATTTATAATAATTAAACTTAATTAATAATGTATAAGGCTTTCTCATTTTGTATGCACTTAATCCTCGTATCAGTCGTGTGAATATGCTTATTTGTTAAAGCTTTCAAGGATTATTCAGAAATTGTAGAGCTATAAGAGCATCTTCAAGAGTCTTGCTATCCCACAAGTCAAAATTTGGCAATTTTAGACTAAAATTGTACTCCAACAGGCTTGCTATTTGAATGGCCAAGCCATCCAAACTGCTTCCTCGCTGGCCAAACTTAGCCAGCCAAAGCCGGCTAGTTTGGCCAGCCAAAGCCGGCTAGCCATCCATGGGAGCCACGCCTGTTTCTCCATGCACACCCTTCATCCGAGGCATTGCTGAGCGCGTGCAGCAGCCATCGCCCGTGCCATGATCTGGACACCGGCTACTGTGGCGGCATCCATCGCCGCCCTCCACTGTCTCCACTACCTACGCCCTCGTCCGTCGTTGCCTCGTCCTAGGCCGAGCTAAGGAAGGAGGGAGCGGGAGGTGTCTTCGTCTTGGACTCCGTCGCCGGCCCTATAGCCGCCCCCATCGTTGGCCTTCATCGTCGCCCCCGTTGCTGCTCCGATCTACCACGTCGATGGGACAAGAGGACAACAATGGCGGTAGTGGCTTAGCATTTGGAGAAGCCGAACCCCGCCTGGGCGCCTCCAACTCCTTTCCTGCATCGAGACCACCGGGGGAAGCCTCCGCTCGTGCCTGCTGCCGACATAGGGAAGGAGGCGCGTCGTCGCTTGCTTGCATCCTTCCTCGAGCTCGCCGTCACCATCGGGAAGGAGGTCCACCCAGGCACAGGGATCCAGAGCTCCTGGGCGACGGCGATCTTGTTTGGGTTGGAGATGTTGCTGGCGCAGCGATGTCCTGGTAGGGGACGAGGCCAGCGGAGACGCCCCTGGCGATGGTGTCGAGGGTGTTGCCGGCGCAGATGCAATAGGTGGGGCGTTGGAAGGTTGCCCCGGCCCCGCTGGAACAAAGGCAAGGGAATCAGATGCAGAGCAGTGAGGGCGCCGGCGTGGATGGCGGCGTGGAGAGAGAGGAGAAACAGGTGTTGCACACGAACCGCGCCACCCCTACCTCCACCGGCGACACCGCCGCCACGCAGAGGAGTGCCACCAGCACGGAGACGAGAGCGTGGGGAAAAGGAAGTATGAGGAAGAAGAAAGGGTTGTAGAGGCTGACATGTGGGTCCCACTGTCGTAGATTCATAATAGAGAGGGTGAATGGAGATGCTGTTGGAGTAAACCATAAGTTTGACTTGCCAAATTAGATGGAGACTTGGCCAAATAGACATTTCGAGAGTTAGATATGGAGAGACTGTTGGAGATGCTCTAATGGTTGTTCCAACTTACTCTCTTCTGTTTTAATCGGTTATATTAAAAGCTACTGGGAATTGCGGAGCTGAGAGTAGGGGTGGACAAAAAGTTCGGGCTCCTATAGCTCGGCTTGGCTCGGCTCGAAAGCCAAATGAGCCGAGCCCAAGCCTCCTTCCTAGCTTGTTTCAAAAACGAGTCAAGCCCGAGCTGGTTCACGAGCCGCTCGCAAGCTCGTTTGGCTTAGTGCATAGGGTTATATACAAAAATTTTGCACCTTTTCTAACTATTTATTTGTTGGAAATGGTAAGTTTGATTGCCACATTATCTATTTATGTGTTGTGATGACATATTAAAGAAAACTATCACAGTATTATAAATTCTATGTGGTAAAATGTTTCTCGATTTCTGTTAGACCTACTTGAGATTTACTTGATGCCAGGCTCGCAAGCCAGCTCGAGCCCATTAACGAGCCGAGCCGAGCCGAGCCGAGCTACAGTTTTAGCTCGTTGTTTGTAGCGAGCAAGCCAAGCCAAGCTTCCCTTGCACCAAGCTTTCACGAGGCTCGGCTCGTTTCCACCCCTAGCTGAGAGCGCTTCGAGTAGCATGTTCGCACGCGGAGGCATCCACGTCGCTTGCGTGCGCTGGGAGGCAGGGAGTTTATGAAAACCAAACAACCCCTTTATTTTATGGATAACTCTGTCTATATTCTTTATGAAAGCTCTTATAGTTGATGACAATTCCATGGACTCCTCGTAGTCACATACGCTATTCTTTCAATAATAAAACTTGCACTTACAAGTTACAATGTATTTAATGGCGCGGGATGGACGGAATCCTAATGATGATGGCATTTCTAGGATAAAATTGCTTGTAAGATGGTATTTCATGGAACTTGAACTTGTTGATGGTATTTCTTGAAATTGGATGCTTATCAATGGCATTTCTTAGATTCTCTTTTTAATGATTCACGCTAGACAATGCAAAATTCATATTAGTATAGCAAGAAAAAGTTACAATATTACAACCCTACGAGGTCGTAACCAAGAAAAACAAATGAAAACAAACACACCACCACCAAGAGCTGGCAACTCCTCGTAGCACACCCTAGAGAGGACAATAGCACCAAGCCGACCGCCGCTAAGCGTGATCAATCACCACTTGGCCAACCGGGAGGTTACAAATGCTCTGCTAAACACCGACTCAATATAGAAAGACGTCAAAAAGCTTTCAGTTATCCACACGTAGAGAGGTTGAGGAGAGGAAGAGGTCAAGAGAGAAGGAGATCCACTAGTCCCTCACCCAACCTGATGAAGACAACCAAAAACCGCCGATGACCAAACAAAGAAAAGGTGGTGAATGCAAGGAACATGACCTCCTAGACAATGTCTTCAGGAAGGCCATGACGTCTTAGACGTCATTGAACGCGCAGAGATGTAGCCTAGAGGGGGGGGGGTGAATAGGTTTTTCTGAAATTTTTTCAATAATCACAGCAGTTAAATTAACAGGGCCCGGAACCTCCTGGTGAAGAACACCGGAACTTCCTGGCAGAGATGAGCAGCCCGGAACTTCCGGAGTTCTTGAGCCAGGAACTTCCTAGCAACAGAGAAAATCAAAATTTGGGGAAGCAAAACAGGTCCTAGCTAGAGACAATCAGGCACAAGGTTGCACAAGATGTAAATCACAAGATACCAGCAGATTCAAACACAGATCATGCACAAGAGAGACAAAGGCGATTTTTTCCTGAAGTTCGGATCACACGGATCCTACTCTCCGTTGAGGTGCTCAAAGAGCCGGGTCTCGATTAACCCCTTGCCTCACTTATGCAAAGATCCCAGAAGAAGTCCACAACCTTCAACTCAACACTTCTAGGTCATTTTCTAGAATTGAGTGACCACCAAGATCCAACTCACAATTCCTTCTAGAAAAGACCACAAGTGTAAGTTGCTCTACCTAGGACAACCTCTGAAAACTCAGCACAAGAATCTTTACTCACTTACCTCGTTTCCTTGCGGAGGTGAAGAAAACCTTCACAAACTTTCCCGGGACATCCACAAGATCTTTGGAAGCTCACGGGCGACACCTAACCGTCTATGAGAAGATCTCCAAGAGTAATAAGCCCAAGTGACAGCCCACAAGGTATCCAAAGTGCTCAAACAAACCTAATCTTCAAGCCATCTCCAAAATACTCTTACACTCTAATCTAATCTCTCAATCTCACAAGATAGGCTCTAGATTTGAGT